CCCCAAAACCCCAAAACCCCAAAACCCCAAAACCCCAAAACCCCAAAAGTGTTTAAACTGATTGAAATAATTACAAAAATGCACAGAAGGACTCCTCTAAGAAAGATGGATGAGGAATCTAGCTGGGAGGATAGCAGCGTGATACGTGTGAACGCATCGAAGGCTAAAGTCTCCCCTGTAAACTTTTTGATCCTCATGCTTAACCTTGTGTTCCCAATGGTGTGCTTTATGTTGTACGCTATTTATCTTCAGACTTACTCTTTATTAGGATTCATTGGAATAACAATAATATGAAGCGTAATATACCCACTGATCATGATAAAGCTATTTAGACAAATGGATGGGGTCTGGAGCAGGATTAAAGGAGCTCCCTTGATGGAAGGAAACCAAGGGAAAATCATGAGTTTCGCCTCATTCTTTTTCTTCCTAATCCTCACCCCATTATGGGCAATTGTCCCTTCTCTTAGAGAAATTAAGCCTGAAGGAGATGCATTGCAGATAAAGGAGTTGACCATCTTGATAGTAATCGAGATAGCAATATTCTCTTTTTACTACATGTTCATCCTTCCAATTATAACTGTTTTCTACTGGAACTTATATTTGTACGAGTGCTTTGGATACTCTATCCGGCTTGGCATCCTCAAATGGCTCATTTCAATCTGATACGGCTTCTGTGCCTACTTCTTCTTCGAATATTTAGACGGACCTGTTGCAGGCATGATCGCAGTTTGATTTTTCACAATCTACTGAAGAATTTCCTTGTGGATGAGGAAGAAATTTGGTAAGGAATTTCACCTTTCAGTCTAACCTTGTATAGGCTACTTATGATCAATCTTCTGTAATATTGGGCTTAATATTGGATCAGTCATTGCAATAGTAATCAAGCTGAATTACTCTCTTATTGGGCCTTAATAGGGCCAGTTTTAAGTTCTCTCCAAGCAGAAATGTATAATCTCAACGAGGAAATAGCTAAAAGGGGTTTTGGGGTTTTGGGGTTTTGGGGTTTTGGGGTTTTGGGG